GGGGGGGGGAGTTTCCTGGGTGATGAAGGTTTCCGCGTCCTTGTTGTTTGGATCCGTGTATCGCACGACTCCCCTGGTCGTGTCCGACTAGTGCTCCCGCTTCCGTCGAGGGCCAATATAGAGGCGGAGGCCGTGGGCTCTGGGTTCATCCGAGGCAGGTCGTGCTCCGCTCGGTTTCGTGCGAAAAGCTTCGATTTTTGGGCGGTTCGGCTTGAATTTTGCCAACCCTTTTTCGTGCCTCGAGGTGCCGATCTGTGCGATTTGGCGTCTCCTGTTCCTTGAGATTTTGTCCCGAAGGCGGCTTGTCCGGGGGTGAGGGTTACTTAGTTGCATTATCTTAGACTAGAGGTGCTGCCGTTTTTGTGCGATAAATGGCGACCTCTAATAAGCCAATATCGCTGGCTGGGCCGTTGGATGCTGATGTCCAGAGGACGGCTGAATTGAACAAGGTTAGTAGCTACTCATTCGGTTACTTTACTGATTGTTTCCATTGAAGAAGATGTTTTGTTACTCACTGTTTTGTCTGTTACAATAAATTGCAGTTCTTGGTTGAAGCGGGCTTATATGAAAGTGCCGATGAGTCTGCTAGGCGGGAGGAGGTGCTGGGGGAGCTTGACAAGGTGATTACTCTCTCGCAACGCGGTTTCTTGCCTGCTTTTGTACGATATAAAAGAGACATGCAGTTTTCTGTGAATCTTTGACTCTTTTGTTCTAATCATTGCTTACTGATTGAAACAATGCTTGATAGATTGTTTATTGCTAAACAAGACCCTTGTTTGAATCTGCAGATTGTAAAAGATTGGGTGAAACAGTTAACTAGTCAGAGAGGATATACTGATCAAATGATTGAAGAGGCAAATGCCGTGCTTTTCACCTTTGGGTCATACCGTCTAGGGGTAAGTGTATGCGTTGCTTTCACGAAATTCCGTCCTCTACCGTGCATATTACAGCTTAAAAGTTTCTAACCTATCAGGCCAGTAAAAGCGGCACTGTTTGTTGGGCTCCCTTTGTTTCCATTTGATGATTAGTTGAATGATTGCTTGCATCAGTAGGGATGGGGTTTCGGTTTAAACTGGCATTTTGGGTTTGTTATATAGCATTTTTTAATATTTTGGTTTCTGATAAACTATGACTGAACAAGCCATGGAAACTATTAAGTCCAACACTTGAAACTGATTTTATTTTGGTATAAACTAAAATAACATATGTGCTGCATCTGTTTGAACAACAGAACACAATACTATGGAAGTGGGCACCAAATCGAACAAAGAATCCGAGATCCAGATATCTCACCAATTTGCTTGATGTTGGCAAAATGGGGTAGGTGATGCCAGACACCAGGATATAGAGCTGGCAGCTAGGGTTTGGCATTGGGGTCCAGTTGGAGATGGTGGGCTCTGAGCAGTGGAGCTGCTGCTGTGTGCTTTTCTTGATGGAGCACTGATGATGGTTTTTGCCTTGAAGGGCTGGTGGCCTGCTCTGTTTTACTGATGCGCTAATTAACAGCATGTTTGTGCTCATGTTAATTAATTTTGGTTTATATATTCAGTTAAACTACAGAAGTGACCAAATTCAATTTGTTTGTCCGCAGTTTGCTACTGAAATTCCAGGCGAGTACCAAATTAACTGGAAAGTCCAGTGTATTCGGTTTGGTGTTTAGTTTTCATTTTTATGTCCACCCCATGCCCTAGTCAATTGGACCTCACTGTTTTGTAACACTTGAATTTCCTTTTTCTTTTTTAGCGGCATGCTCATTTATGATCAACACCATAGCACAAAATGAGCTTATGGGGAGCTCGGACCATTGTTAAAATAGGCATCGGCGGCAGTAATAGGTTGTAAAATCTTTGTTGTAGGCCGATGGATGCACTGGAGATGGATGAATGTGTGTTACTAGGGAATCTAAATTGCTTGTTCTGCTTCTGGCATTTGCTTACTGCCTTCTTTTGTGTGCCGTGACTGAAACTAACATTGATGGCTATTCTTGTTTGAATAGATTTGGTCACTTGGACAAACATCCGAGTAGCTGTCAGTTATCTCATAAGTATTCAGCATGATTGTTGAACAACAGTTTTGTTCATATTCCTTCCATTTGTAATCAAATATGTCTGGCGCTAATATTTACCAATATTATTTTAGTTGCCCTATATGGGAGGTTTCCAGTTAATTGTGAACTTAGGCATGTTTTACGGTGTCCATAAGGTGGCGCTTGAGCGTTGCTTATGCGGTAAGGTGCCCTGGCAGCGCCCAGGCGTTAAGGCGCGGGTTGATCGCCTTAAGACGCCTTACTACATTGGAAACCTTGAACATAGCCTAACCAAATAGTATTAAGAGTTCTTTTAAAGAGACATAGGAACGCAGGAAAGCCAAGCACCCTTACGGTTGCTAGTTACATGGTCAGTTTATTCCTCGTTCTGGCTTGTGGGAGTACATGTCACTTTTTTAGCGTGGTAGCATGGTGCTTTTGGTGTCCATACAGCTACAAGTTATTTGGTTTGCTTTGCACTTGGTTCAAGCCTGTATTACTAAGAAAAAAAACACATGCTCATGTTTGCCCCTGTTGCTAATTTGTTCATTCTTTTACCTTGCATTGCCTTATTTTTCTTATGAACGTTCCTTGTCATCTTTTCACATATTCCCCAACTGATTTGAGCTCTGACATCTGCAACTTAGAGATAATTATGTACACTTGTTCACTGGTTCTCCACATTTTTGTTTAGTTACAGCATATTTTATGTTACTGGATGTGCATGCATCTCATTTTGTGGTGCTTGCTTATTACAAATTCTTTGTGCAGGTTGTTCATGTTCCATTGAATAATCTAATTTTCTTGTTTGTATTATATATGCTATTCAACCCTTTTTTGCAACCTACTGTTATATCGCATGTTAATGTTTTTTCTCTTCTCATAAAATTATCCACCTGTGCATAATTTGACACTTATGTTTTAATAGGTCCATGGACCTGGGGCTGACATCGATACTCTATGTGTTGGACCTTCATATGTGAATCGCGAGGTAATATTTTCTTGTTGTGTGCTTCCTTTGTAGTTTTTGTGTTAGCTATAGCATTTGTTGTTCTCTAACAATAGTAGTTTTTCACAGGAGGACTTCTTTATTGTACTGCATGACATATTAGCACAAACGGAGGAAGTGTCTGAATTGCAACCTGTACCTGATGCACATGTACCTGTGATGAAATTTAAGTTCCATGGGATATCCATCGATCTTCTTTATGCCAGCGTTTCTCTCTTAGTAGTACCATCTGTAAGTTTGTACTTTCTATAAATATATTCATGCATTTGTTTGTTTCTCGATTCATACCAAGTTAAGTAAGGATGGATATGAACTAGTACTGTTCCTCCCAATATCTGCCTTTCTTATGATCCTGATGTCTGTTCCTCCTAAATCTGCCTTATGACCCTGATGGATTAATTCTTCTGTGGTATTTCGTAGTAATCACAAAGACCCTGTTGTCAGCTTGATGTGCTAGTATTGTAGGTGTGTGATGTAGGTTTGTTCTGCTATCCATAGTGTGATCTACTTCTACTTCTGTGCTGATTTTGTAGTGTTTTCTAACATCTGTGTTAGTGTCAGAGCAGTTATATCAAAGGCCTCTATTTTGTAGTGAAACTGTGAAAAATAGTTCTCTTAGCAAGCATATTGAAGTTGCAGTGTTCGTATTATTTTGGATGTGAATGTAACTTCTTTGATGTTGAACTTCTTGTGGTGAATAACATTTGAACTTCCATCATCATTGTCCACTAGTCTCCTGTCCGCTGACCTCACGGTAAAGCCTAGTTGTCGTCGTTTTCAGAACTCCTTCTGTTTAGCTCTAGGGAGTTGTATAGAATGAACCGTCCAATTCCTTATTCTTATGCATATTGCAAAATTGTATCTTTGAAAGCCATCATTGCAACTCGTCCTCTGCTGTTGATATTATCAGCTGTTTAATTCCATTCACGCTTGTGTTCTTTAAACTGTGGAAGGGAAATACTCTTAGAAGTCCACTTCCTGCTTCTTGCCTATATTGATCTCGAATATTTCAAGAGATGCATCTTTGTCTTGACATGTTGCTGCAGGATTTGGATATCTCTCAGGAAGCAGTGCTTTATGACATTGATGAGGCAACTGTTCGTAGTCTTACTGGCTGCAGAGTGGCTGACCAAATTCTTAGGCTTGTTCCGAATATTGAGGTTGACTGGAGGAACTATTATCTACTTTTATTCTACTCGAACATTTTTTTTCATCTTTGTTTTCTAGGATGGCAATGTTAACAATATACATACTTCTATTGTAGAGCTTTCGAACAACACTAAGGTGTTTAAAGCACTGGGCAAGAAGAAGAGGTGTTTACTCTAATGTAAGTGTGGTTTTACTATTATGTTGGTAACTTTCTATGAATTGCTAGGATTAATCTAATATCTGGCTTGATAGGTCACTGGTTTTCTTGGAGGTGTGAATTGGGCTTTACTGGTTGCACGAGTCTGCCAGCTCTATCCTAATGCTGTGCCAAGTATGCTGGTCTCGAGATTCTTCAGGGTTTTTACCCAGTGGCGCTGGCCAACTCCAGTGATGCTTTGTGCCATTGAGGAGGAGGAACTTGGCTTTCCTGTGTGGGATCCACGCAAAAATCCTCGTGACAGAACTCATCATATGCCAATTATCACTCCAGCATATCCATGCATGAACTCCAGCTATAATGTTTCGACGAGCACGCTGAGGGTTATGATAGAACAATTCCAGTTTGGCAATAAAATATGCCAGGTATTTTCTTTGGCACAATAATTACTATTCACCAACTGCTTATTTTGACTGTTCTATATATACTCTTTAATGCAGGAAATTGAGATGAATAAGGCTAGTTGGTCTGCCCTTTTTGAGCCTTTTAATTTTTTTGAGGCGTATAAAAATTATCTGCAAGTTGACATCATCGCTGAGGATGATGCAGATCTCAGACTCTGGAAGGGATGGGTCGAGTCTCGATTGAGGCAACTGACTTTAAAGGTAATAGTATGTTGTTTATGCTCAGATTATTGTGCACAGCTTGTAATAAGTTCACTTCCTTTTGAGGCTATATATACTGCATCAGGGGAGTTGTTACGGGGATTCCTGGTTGTGAGATTGGGAGTCATTGCATTGTTTTGATTCTTGGGTTATGTAAAGTTAAGCCTGTCTGAACTGCAGAACAATTATAATGGAGGGTTAGAGTGGAAATTAATAATTGAGTTGGGAACTTGTAGGGTGACAATTCGCATGCCTGTTTTAAACAGCAAGCAGCCCGTGTTTTAATTTCAGCTGCGTTCTTATACTATTTATTAGCCTACCCTAACTTGTTTAGTACTAAAGGCTTTGTTGTTGTTGTGGTGGTTGTGTTCTTACTATTTATGTCTGATGATTGACTCTTTAGCCTTTGGTTTTTGGTTGACACTTGCAGATTGAACGGGACACCTATGGGAAATTGCAATGCCATCCATACCCATATGAGTATGCAGATCCTTCTAGACAGTGTGCTCATTGTGCTTTCTTCATGGGCTTATCAAGGAAAGAAGGTGTGAAAATACAAGAAGGTCAGCAGTTTGATATTCGTGGAACAGTTGATGAGTTCAGGCATGAGATCAACATGTATATGTTCTGGAAACCTGGGATGGAGTTGGCTGTTTCTCATGTTCGGAGGAAAGAGATTCCAGCTTATGTGTTTCCAGAAGGATACAAGAGACCTCGTCCCCAAAGGCATGTGAACCATCAACACCAGTCTGATAAAAATAACACTGCAAATGGCACATTGACTGGATCTCCAGACAGCCAGCTGAAGAGAAAGCATGATACTACTGGGATTGATGATACCGAACCTTGCCGATCTGTTAAGAGGGCTTCAATCAGCCCAGTTCACCCAAAAACTTTATCACCTCGGTCGGGCAACATTAGTGATGAGCCCAGAAGTGACAGCCAACAGAAAGTTACTTCTAATGCAAGCGGTGGGAGTCAGGATTCACCTGGCAGTGGCAATCGAGATAAAACAAAGTGTTCAAGTTCATCACATGCATCTGAGAAAAGCTTGGATTCAGTCGCATCAGGCTCCAAGTGTGTGAAAATGGAAGCGGTTTGTTCTGATGACGTAACTAGCAAGCATGTCGATTGTATTTCACCTGTCAAGGACAGCACTGCTCCAACCGTAGCAGTGAGTACAACTTTAAAGCGTGTTGCCGAGAAGGTCGTTTTGGAGCTTGTTGGAAGTGAAAGCATTGGCGGCAATAATGCAGAGTTACTGCAGATTGCAGAAAAGGACATGGGAAATGTCCTTGTTGAAAATCTACACTTTGGTGGGAATGGAGTTCCTCAGAGCGGCCTCCCTGAAGAATTAGAGGTCTCGCGTTCTTTCCTTCTTGAAATGATTTGCGTTTGTTTCCAGATATGATCTGAACTTCTTTATTTTGCTCATTTGGTTTATAAAGCTGAACAATGGGATTGAAGTGGGTTCTAAAGCTTATGCAGGTGTGAAGTCAGATGGATCCCAGAAGTCGTCATTGAGGCATGATCTTGAACTCAATCCTTATACATTGAGTATCTATGTTGCTCCGTTTTCTTTATACTCTGCTGTTTGGTATTTGTTTGCTACTTTGCGCAGAGTTAGTTTGACATCAACAGCATGAGGTTCCAGAGCCGGCTGGAATGGAGGGTCTGGTGTCCCTTTGGTAAGTTGTTCAACTCACAAACTTTCCTTTTCGACACAGATCTGCAAACACTGGGGACTTGGAAGGAAGATGGTGGTAAAATCATGTCTGGCAATGGCATGGCAAAAACAACAAACAAGTGAAGTTTCTTTCATGGAAGGTCGCAAGATCTTTGCCAACTCTAGTCTAGATCTGTGGCAAGTTCGTTTATGGAACCAGCTCGCTCCGCAGCTTAATTTGTCGATTCTGTCTGGAGTTGCGGTGTAGCTTGCCCTAATGTATGGATCGAGCTCCAGCAGTCTCCTTGGGTGGACTTGTTTACGTCCCAGGGATTCCGCTGTAGGTCTAGATTAGAGAGAGATGTGCTACTAATCCTTGTTTCTCAAGACCCCTTTGTACCTTCCCAACCTTTGTAATATAAGATCTGCAAGATGGTTCCTTGTACTTTGGCATAGCTCGCTTTTTTATCTTTTGTTTCATGTTCAGTCGGCGGGTTGCATGTGAGTTAGGGTAATTATGTTATCTGTCAAGATAACACCTTTTAAAACTATTGTATTCCCTCTGTTCCTAAATATAAGTCCTTTATATATTCCGATATGGACTACATATGGATCAACATGAGTGAATTCACATCACACTCTAAACTATATATATATATATATATATATATATATATATATATATATATATATATAGGACAAATGTTTCCTACAAGCAGTGGTAGTTACCACCACCTTGTGTTTTGTATGTTGTATGTAGTATCTGTCGGAACCGAGAGTATGTACGTGTAGTATGTAGTATATAACAATGATTATGTAGTATATATACTAATTTTTAGGTAGTATATACAATTTTTTAAGTATGCTCATTTTTATGTATAAATATGTACGTATTTTACAAATATAACAAAAACTATGGGCTCATATGCAATTTTTTCATTTAACTTGCTTTGAAATATCTTAGATATAGTATATGAACATATTTAAAATAATAAAATAATATATATAATACCACATGGTAGTATATGAGACATGTGGGATAACTACCACTGAGTGGTAGGATGGATTTTCCCTATATATATATATATATATATACACACACACACACACACATCCGCATGTAGACTTTATTAAATCTCTAAAAAGGACTTATATTTAGGAATGGAGAAAGTACATGCTGTTTCTCTCCTACATGGTTTCTCTTCTACAGTCAGAAAACTTAATACTCCCTCAGTTTTTTTATAAAAGGCTACTATCCCATTTTTCAGATACCAAGTAAACAAAGCCATCAAATAAATAACCTTTTGTGGTCTGGACTGGGCTAATTGAACATGTTGCAATGGTGCCTCTTTCTTTGCTGCATGCAACAAATAAATAGCATGACTAATTGTGTGGAAAACCTCTTGTGTTCTGGGCTAATTAAACATGTAACGTTTGCGTTATTAAGCACCATCGAGGCAAAATCAAATCAATTCTTCTGAAGATGGGACAGTGACCTTGAATAATGCGTCATCTTTGGAGCCCTTGCCTGCTGGTGGGGCCATACTAAATTGGGGAGGTAGAGAACCAATGGGATTGATATCAGCTGTTCTACTCACTGCATGTTGATTAAAGGTGGAAAAAGTGGAAAAATCGGCTTCCAAATGATCTTCGCGTTTTTCTAACCCCTGATTATTGCGTGGGTTTGAAATTAGCCGGTAATCTAAATCTCCCAATCCCAAACCAGGTTTCCCACGTGTTTCTCCTTGGGGAAATTTGAGTCTTCACATGCCCCATATATCCCTACCCGCCACAAATTGGCAAGATGGATTTCACTGTAGGTCTAGATTAGAGAGAGACTAGAGGTAACACGCGCTTTGCGGCACTGTCCTTTGGTTTTGGAAGTAAATTCCACTTTATCCCAAAGGATATTCGTATTTCATGCATATCGCGGAGGTGGTCGGGCAAACGCGGATCCCTGCAGGTACTATTGAGTATGTCATGTACCCCCTCCGTTCCTAAATACCTGTCTTTTTAGGCATTTTAACAAGTGACTACATACGGAGTAAAATGAGTGAATCTACACTCTAAAATATGTCTACATATATCCGTATGTGTTAGTTATTTGAAATGTCTAGAAAGACAAATATTTAGGAACGAAGAGAGTAGGTCGGTTAGTCTAGTTGTCGGAAAGTTTCGTTTAGTTTTTTTTACCTTTTTTTGTCATGTTTTACTTTCCTGTTCATTTTTATATTTGTTTTCTTTACTTAATTCGTGAATGTTTTTCATATTTACGAATAATTTTGAAATGCAGGAACGTAATTTATATTCTTGAACATTTTTTCAAATGCATAAATGTTTTATTAAAAATTTGTGAACATTTTTTAGAATATATGAAGATAACTTTGAAATTCTCAAAGGCCTTTATTCCTAAGGAGCTTAGTAACCGTGCGTTGCCGTGGGAATTGGTTGATGAAAATTTGAGTTGATAACATAATAAGCAAAAACAAAAATACATATGATTTACTATATTCGATTATGTATAGTTGTTACATTATTTTGAATATTTTAAATAATTGAATGGAAAACAATTTCCCATGCATGATTGAATATTCTGGTTGGCCTTCTCCTTTTCATAATTGTATGGTGAGGTGACATGCTTGCATGTTGAGATAAACAAGTCAGTGGGGATAACTCTCTTATGTATATATATTCTACTCTCTTTTCCCGTTTCTCAAGACCCCTTTATACCTTCCCAACCTTTGTATTATAAGATTTGCAAGACGTTTCCTTCTTAATGCTAAGGCAGGATTGTAGCGATCCGACCCGAAATCGGTCAATTCTCTGTCTATCTGTACCATCCCAAGATCATGCAGGCACACACAGTACATTGATGAAGATATCAAAGTTTAATCACACCTGATTAATTACATGAATCTCATATAGAGTCTTTATTACATCAGAATAAATTCGACCGAAGACGAACTCATGAGAAAAACTAATGCGGAAGCGCAGACGATAAGCGAGTCCATCCGACTCCAAAGGGTAATCACCGAGCGTGGATCGACGATCTAACGGAGCGCTGGCTTACAGAGGGCGGTCGATGGCGACTGACGGCGACGGCTCGAGCGTCGAACGGGGCGGTGGCTCCGGCGGTCGAGGGAGGCGGTGGAGTGGCCGAGCGGGTGCGACGGAGTGAGGGGAGGTCGAGGGTGGCCTCTGCGTCAGTCGGGGAAGACGGGGGCGACCGGGGCGTTGAGGTGCAGAGCCCAGTGCTCTGCAACTCTGGTGGCGGACGACGATCTCCGAGGCGGCGGCTCTGGTGCAACCTAGAGGGCAAAATGATGTCACATGGATGCATAAGGCTAAGGGGGTCCAGCTGACAAGATTTGGAGACAGGGGAGGCTCACCGACGATGACAAGGGCGACGAACTGCGGCGGCAGAGATGAGATCAGGACGATGGAGGCGCGAGCTAGGGTAGGGTTGAGCGTAGGGTTTTAGGGGTGTTCGATCGAGCATGTCTAGGGCTACTTATAGGACATGAGCTTCGGGAGGGGGTCGACTCGGGGTCGCGATATCAGGGTGACGGTGTGCTCCGGAGCACTCTAGTGTGGCGTGCCGTGGGTGAGGGGTTAGGGATGGGGCGAGGCTCACATGTTGGTGAGAGAGAGAGGGAGAGAGGGTAGCGGGCGACCGAGCCGGGGAGGTTTCGGGCACGGGCGGCTGGTGAGGTAGGCGGCGACAGTAGGGCTAGTTGGCTGTTGGGCCGGCTGGCTTGGCTGGCACTAGAAGGTTTTTTTAACAGTAAAGAAAACACAGAAATAATGAAATCTAAAATAGTTTTATATAGGACATACACACACACACGTATATATGTACACACACACACACACACACACACACACACACACATATATATATATATACATATCAAAATAGTCAGCAAAAAAACCCCAAAATGATGAACTATTTTTTAGACGTAGAAAACAAACTTTATAAAAATCATTTTTGAAAATTCCTAATAAAACCAAATTTGAATTCAAAAACTTTTGGCATTATTTTCTTATGAATTTTTAGAGTGTCATGTTACCTCCTCTCATACTTTTTGATCAAAGTATCTGTCATGGATTTTTGAAATGAATTTCAAATGCCAGGTTGAAGTGAATTCAAATTCATCAAAAAACAGTCAAATGCATCTGAATTTTTCAAAATTCCACCACAATTCAATCAAGATGCATTAGATGCTCAGCTATAATTGTAAAAGAACCCAAATTGAAAATTTGGGATGTTACGAACCTACCCACCTTAAGATGAATCTCGCCCTTGAGATTCGGGTTGGCTAGCAAATAGGTGCGGGTGGTCTCGACGGAGGTCTTCTTCTCATTCCTAGGTGGCTTCCTCCTCGGAGTGGTGACTCCACAGTACCTTGCAAATCTTGATGATCTTGCTGTGGGTAACTCTGTTCGCAGTCTCGAGAACCCTGACGGGTTACTCCTCATAAGTCAGATCACTGTCAAGCTGTATGGCCTCTAGGGGCACTGTGTCTCTCAAAGGAATATTGGCAATCTTAGCATGACATTTCCTCAGCTGGGAAACGTGAAATACATCGTGAACTCCTGACAATTCTTTCGGTAATTCTAGCTTGTATGCAACTTCTCCTCTGCGTTCAAGAATTTTGTATGGGCCTATGAACCTGGGTGCTAACTTTCCTTTAACACCGAACCTCTTGATTCCTCGAAGTGGAGACACACGGAGATATGCTCAGTCTCCCACTTCGTATGTTATCTCCTTGCATTTACTATCGACATAACTCTTTTGTCTCAACTGAGCTATCCTGAGTCTGTCACGAATCAACTTGACCTTCTCTTTGGAGTCTCTGATAAGATCAGGACCAACAAGTTTTCGGTCTCCAACACTATCCCATAGCAATGGTGTTCTGCACCTCCTTCCGTACAGAGCCTCGAAAGGGGCCATCTTCAAACTGGTCTGATAGTTGTTGCTGTATGAGAACTCTGCGTAGGGAAAATTATCATCCCAGCTAGCTCCATAGTCTAGCGCACAAGCTCTCAACATGTCCTCCAGAATCTGATTGACTCTCTCGGTCTGTCCATCTGTTTGCGGATGAAAAGCCGTATTGAACTCCAGCCTCGTACACAAAGTTTCATGCAACTGATTCCAAAATTTTGAGGTAAATTTTGTTCCTCTATCTGACACGATACTCCTCGGAACTCCATGCAGACATATGATCCTGGTCATGTATGTTGGGTTTCGTAGTAATTTCAAAAAAT